TTCTTTCCCCTCACTCGTGAGAGGCCCACTGTAACTGCGTGAATGTTACAAGAGGTACACAGCTGGAAAGCTAAGTTAAGAGAGAACTGGACAAGGAAAAAGAGGAAAAGGAGAGAAGCAGGATAATTAAAACAAAAGTTTAGGAAAGTTAATGGTAACCCTCAGGAGGAGTTTTATTGATGTACTTATAAACAGAAACAACTTAGACCCTGTTCTATCTTTCCATTTTATGTTACCATTCTATAACATTTTAATTATTCATAGGCAGCTGTCCTCTGAGCAAATAAGAGACAGAATATAATACCAATCCCACATCTAAAATAACTATAGTACCAGGAAGAGAAGTGATATGAGTGGAGATCACATCAATATAAAATCAAATCTTAATATAAGAACTCTTGTTAGGGTGGTGTCAGCAAGATTTTATATACATATATCCATCCCCCCCAAAAACTAGAAGAAATTATGCCACTTCTGAGCAAATATGTCAAAGAGCGCATCCAGTTCTGAACCAGTTTAGTGGGTTATTTGTTGCAGCATTTTCTAATGTATGAAATCCAGATCATGAAGCCAGTCCTTCCTGAAATGAATGTGGAAAAATAGCATATCATAGTGTTTGCTTTTGTTAAAATTTAAGAACACCGTGGATTCTCATTTCCTACCATCCCATGATATCACCTTTCAGTGACCATGCTGATGATGATGACTGAGAAGGCATCAAACTGGGAAAAGTTATCTAAGCATTTCAAAATGCTGCCTTAACTAAAGTTTAAACTTAAGTTTAAACTAACTTTTTACTAAGACAGGTAACTCAAATATGTGCATTTGTTGCTGCCCAAGGTTCTTGTAGTTCTATTTATTTTTCTCTCTGTGTAGGCAGTTTCTGATGGTGGCACAGATTCACAGATATTAGATCTCTCCAATCGCTTCTACACTTTAATTCCCCATGACTTTGGGATGAAGAAGCCTCCACTTCTAAACAACCTTGACTACATTAAGGTACTGATGCGGAAACTCTGAGACACTGGCACTTAAATACAGAAATAATGTAAATTATATTTTAATAGATGTAATTTCAAGACAGTTATGTCAGCCTAACACTCATCTTTTTAATCCAGTTTGGGTGGTGGATATACTGTTGGATGTGGAGCAGGAATTTCAGGTTCAGGCCATGGCTCACCTATAATGTTTACTAGGTAACCGTGTGGCCAGTCACCATCTCTTGGTTTAATTAAATACTCCAGGAGTGCTGCATGGATAAAATGGGGGGGGGGCATTGAGGGGTTAAAGGAACTACATCCATAATCCTTTGGTTCCTTATATAAAGTCTAAGACAAAAATTAGTGGAATTTTCATTTTTGTCAAAAGAGAGAGCTATTGCTATTTTTTTGTAAAATAGCAACTGGAGAATCCTAAGCAGTCTCCTAGGTTAATAAACACAAAGATTATGAAATGCACGTATTGTTACAAATAAATACATCTTACATTTATCAAGACTAAAGTGGAAATGCTGGATAATCTACTTGACATAGAGGTCGCTTACAGCCTTCTGAGAAGTGGTGGTCAAGATGGGGATAAAGATCCAATAGATGTGAACTATGAGAAGCTCAAAACCAATATCAAGGTAAAAAATGGCAGGGATGTATGTTATCCTCTTTTGACTACACATTTTTCCAACTTTCCAAGATTAGTTTGGTTGAATAGGTATAAGATGTACATTTTGTTACTTCAGTGATAATCTGCTTGCCTGATGAGGCAGGTATAACAATTTCAATTTCAATTTTTTTTTTTTAAGTTTTGGTATCTAGAAGCTCATATACATTTACTTTTTTTCTTTTTTATTACTTTTAATGTACAAAAGGGAAAAAGAAAATAAAAAGACTCTAAAACATAATAAAAAAAATTAACCAAGAAAAAACAGAACAGAGAAATACATACATAACATGAACTACATATATATGTTGGAATACCCAGATTTAAAAAAATGTAATGGCTCATTTTCAGTATTAAACTTGACCACACAAATTATTGATCAGTCTTTTCTTTATGTTGATATGAAATCAATTCATAGGGGGAGAATGGACTGTATCATCAACCCAGGATTTAAAATATATTTTCTTGCAAATTACAAATATCAGTCTTAATAATTAGCTTGTAAACTGGAAATTGTCATTTGGAATTGCCAGGTCTATAAATGTGATTCATAAATAAATAATTTTCTTTAGTTGTCTGTAAAAATAAACCATTATTATCTTTTCAGTTATAGCAACAGTTTAAGAGTCTCAGATACTGCTAACACATTTGGTCCAAAATTGTATAAGCAGAAGGTGTGGTAACTAAATAAATTGCCCTCAGTGATTTTAATGAGTCCAAATTCTTTCTGCAGTACCACAAATACTTTAAAAGAGTGATTGAGCAAAAACTTATCAAAGGTTTTTGTTGTTCATGAGCTTCTAAAAAAGGTTTAGGTGCCATTCTCAAGCATGGATTGTCCCCCAGTGTCATTTTCTCATGGGAATAAGAATAAAGTTTGAGATCCTTCCCAACATAATCCAAATATATATTGCAGCCTTTAATGCGGGAAAAGCAGCTGATTTTTTTTTTTAGTAAAACTGGAGTGAAGTCCCTGCCAAGATACCAAGGGGGACAAATAATCAAGAGGGACAAATAATAACTTTCAAATTGTGTCTATAAAAACTTGAGTCACTTAAATTCAAGAAACAGATGTCAAAGTATAAGCTCATTGATAAAGCTTTTTTTAGCTTTAAAAAAGGACAATTAAAGCCTTTTTGATAAAGAAGTTGTAATTTTGAGAAAGAAAACCTGGGTATCTGTTCATCTCATAAGAACTTTCTTGGTATCTTAAGATACTCATTGTAATGACATTTATTATTTTCCATAGACTCAGAGACATTTTCACTATAATCCTTGATGTTTTCCCAACAACTGACCTGGCAAAACAAGGCTTTTAGTTTACAGGGACTACTTTTGCTATCACCCAGACTTGGTTAGACAACAACATGAAAGGAAGAGAGGCCAGATGCGAGCCTACTCTCCCTTCTTTGCAACAGCCAGGTTGCAGCTTCCCACCATATCTCCTCCTGCCTCTTACCCTTACAGTGTTTGCTCCCAGGTCTAAGTATTCCCCACAGTTCCACCATCTCCTTAACACATCTCTTCATATCAGGCAACAGTTAATAAAAACCAGCAAAAATTCTTCTGTTAGAATCCAAACACTCTCCCAGTGTTCATTCATGAAAGCAAACAGATTGGCCTACTTTTAAGGGTCTCCCAAATGGTGACCCCTTTAACAATAACCCCTGTCTCAGGGCAGCATTTCTCCAGCTGGAAAGTTCTTCTGCTACCTCATCCTGCAAGGAGAATTGGCATAGAATTGGCTTCTCTCCCATATGATACTTTTAAAAAATCAACAACATAGCAAGTTTCCTAGATCACTGAGATCAGGATTGCAGGAGAAAATTGTTTACATCATTTTAATGACCAAATAGGTTTACAGGTTCCTCTTTTTAAATTATTAAATTTACAACAGTGAATTTCTTGTCAATTTCCTGATAGGTAGTCGATAAAGATTCAGAAGAAGCCAAGGTCATAAAACAATATGTTAAGAACACCCATGCAAGTACCCACAATGCATATGGTTTGAAAGTTATGGAGGTGAGTTTAGGGTTGGGATATGGAGTTTTAACTATAGAACTGGTCTACTGTATTTAACTTGCCTTTCCTGTATGTGTCGCCGCCCAGTCACCTTGTGTGAGATGGGCGGCTGTATAAATATGATAAATAAATAAATAAATAAAAATGTGTTGTTGGAGTATCTAGGTAACTTTTGCTAATGTTTTTCTGAAACTGTAATCAAGGCTCATTATCTCTTCTGTTAAATTAATCTATTTTCATGTAGTCTTATATCTTGGAATTAATACAAAATATGTTTATGGAGTAAACATTCCAAGCTCCTCCCCTCAAATCCAAGGCCTGTGGCATGGAGTCATGAAATGAATGTCTTTCCATGCTATAGACAGCTACATACATTTAATATAGTTTGCTTCATAGTTTATGATGGTACTCTAGTTGGTACCCAGTCAGAGTTCTACATTAAGCAAAATTTAAAATCATATTTTGAAATATTGAATAATGATCAGGTTGGAACTCTGATTAGAGTTTACCATCTTAATACTAAACCAGTGGAAGCATAGCACAGCAGAATAATCTGTGCTTAGTCAATAAAGGGCAGTTCAGAGCCCGCCCTGATCTTTTGGCTAAGGATAAAGTAATTTGTGCGAAGCTATACTGGGCTATAGTCTTTGTTCCTCCTGGTTTTTGTTCCAAAAGCAAACATTTTGTTTTTGTTGTATTTACAAGCCTTTGCCGATCCACCCCGGGCCCATAATTGGTTGGGTATTTAGCAGAGTAGAGGGTTCAAATTTGGAAGAGCACAGGTTGCATGTGTAGCACACCACACACACCCTTTCCCCAACCTCCATGTGTAGCACGTCTGACCCTCCCCAGAGGACGGATACTCGTGTGCTTGAATGCAAGTGCAGTGCCCTCCTTCCCCCTGCTTTATTGAAATTCTAGATCACCCAGAGAGGACCACTTGTGATTCAAACTAATGCAAATATGTTTTTCCTTCAGACCTCCATCTGTGTGCTGGTTAGGGAGAATAGGGTGTGGAGCTTCCTATATTTTCATGTTCCTTATTCACTTTGAGGCCTGCAAGCCTCCAGCTAACCACTCAAGCAAGGCTTTTCTTCACAGCTTAGCTTTGAGGCTGCTTTGCTGACAAACTTTATCAAATGAATTGAACTATGGCAAGCAGAGTAAGTGCAAATTCAATGCTAGGAGAAAGAAAAATTGAAAAATTATTTTCTGTCTACAAGTCTATGAGGTGTGATTATTTTGTTTGATTAGTATTGTTTATATACCACTGACCACATGCAGGCTAAGTAAAATATAAAAACCATAATATAAAATAACCCACATTGCCATTTGAACTATAACAATGGTTTTAGCAACCACTCCTGGCAACTTAACAGATAGTTCGGCCCTCTTGCCTTTTGGGTCTCTGATGGAAGGCTATTCCATGATTTTTGGAGCATATATTTAAAAAAATCACAGTTTCTAGCCCCTGCTCCCTGGATCTCACATGGTGGAGCATCTTCACAATCCCTAATCTGCATTAACACATGCACTGGACAGGCTTTTTCCTTTTGAAGCCACCAATCCTGATGGGATCTAGCGGGCAAGCCATGTAGGATTTAAAGATAGTGGTCAGCACTTTGAATTGTGCTCAGAATACCAGCAACAGCTTCCATACAGTCTTCACTGGCAATCTCACATACTGTAGGGTGCGTTGCAGTAACCTAGAGGCGAGAAGGGCATGTTCTGTACATTCATAAAAATCCTGGAGTGAAATAGGTGTTAGATCTATTTTTGGATTCACATAATTTTTTTCTTATTAAAATAGCTGCTTAGGGAGGGGGAGATAAATTGGGGCAGCGTGCATGAGGAAGTTTGGTTTGCCTGATCTAAGAGAATTATGTGGAGAAATCCAGTTATAGATTGCTAATGTAGCATCTACTTCAGTCTTCACAAAAATCAATTCTAAAATAGTGAGAGACAAAAGTGAAGCAATGACATTCAAATTAAAACTCTTTCTAGTGCCTCTGACTTTTAGACGGCTCAACAAGCAACCACTTCTTTTACTTAAAATCAGATTTGTTGCACATCAGATTCAAAGTCTTCAAAAGTAATGTAGTTTTAAGATGTTTTAGAACACTGGCTAGAATTTCTTACAGCTATGTAGATTTCAGATTCAGTTTCAAAAGGGTACTTCAGAGCACATAAGGTATGAATACAGCATTTATCTACAACTCTTTAAAGCAATTGTGTCTTTTCTTAGGACCACACTTCGTAATCTAGGAAAAAGGGACACAACTGGTTTAAAGAGCTGCAGAGAGATGCTACACTTGCACCCCTAAACTCTCCAAAGTATGTTTTTGAATCAGTTCGAATATGGCATTCAGTACATCAGTTTCTCAGTTGAAAGTATTTGTTTTCTTAAATGGGGTATCTGGATTTAAATTTGACACACAGTTTATGTTACTAAGAGATATGTCAGTGACTAGTTGTACAAAAATGAAAGTATATACAGTACGTAAGTATTAAGTTTTTTTCCCCATGTATTGCATTATTTTTTAGTGTACTCTGCTTTATCAGTCATCCTATCTTTTTCTTCCTCTCGCCCAGATTTTCAAGATTGAACGTGAAGGAGAATATCAGCGTTACGAACCATTCCGAGAGCTCCACAATCGCCAGTTGCTCTGGCATGGTTCTCGCACTACCAATTTTGCTGGTATCTTGTCTCAGGGTCTCCGAATAGCTCCACCTGAAGCCCCAGTGGTTTGTAATATGCTAATTTTCTAACCTGGAATTAGTGACTCTCCAGATGCTGAAGTCTCAATTCCCATCAGATAAATGCTGGGAGTTAAAATTCAGCAACCTGAGACATATCACTCTTAGATGGGGCTTGCCCATCTTGCCATTTTTCGGAGGGAATTGAATGCTAATCTAGTGGACTTTCACTAGATTGGCTTGACTTTCTTCTCCCCTCTTCATGGAGAGTACACAGAGAAAGGGAAATTACACTATCATAACGCCCATTGTTCCATACATCTGGATTAATCACTGTGCATTTGTAGAATTGCAGACAGTGTAAAGGTCATCTCTCTAAATCCTAGCAATTAGACAATAACTTCTGACAAATTATTTTATTCAGTCCAATCATACATAGTAGAAATACAGATTATTTAAACTAGAATGCTGAGATGCAGGCCCAGAGCTGAAGATTAAAGTAAATAAATAAAATACAGAATTGCTGTCTATTCTAATCTAAAAGGGAGAAAAAAACCCTTGCCCTCCAATGTGAAAATTTATCAAAGTACCATTCCTTCCCAAGAAGAAGAAAACACATCCAAAGATCAGAGACATTCCTCTTTGTTGCTCCAAATTCTGTTTCTTTTTGTCATTTTATATAAATAGCCATATATTTAGAGCTAAGATTTTTCTTGGACAGGGAGTTGAAATCCCTTTCGTTCACATCATACTTCCCTAGTTAAATGACTTTTGGGAAACACAGCATAACTTTGTTTTTTCCATTTAGACTGGCTACATGTTTGGTAAAGGTATCTACTTTGCGGATATGGTGTCCAAAAGTGCCAACTATTGTCACACCTCTCAGTTTGACCCTGTTGGCCTAATCTTGTTGGGAGAAGTTGCTCTTGGAAACATGTGAGTGATATCTTCTTACAGTGCTTTTTTTAAAATGTGCAGTGATAACATGTAGAGTATCTTAATTCAGATTTGGAAATTTATTTACTCTAAATAAAAAAAAAAATCTTGCCTGTCTCACAGCAGATCAGGAGCTGTAGGAAATTGTACTGAAATATATTATTCTGAAGCAGCAAACCCTTTAGGTTTACCTGAAAACAAAATATTCATAAAAGAGGAGGTAATGTCTTTAAATTTGTGAAATACAGTTTCTTAAATGGTCATTATTTCTGTTTCATAGGTATGAATTGAAAAATGCTTCCCATATAACCAAGCTACCAAAAGGCAAACACAGTGTCAAAGGTAAGTGCCTTCTGGAAATGTTGCTGCTAATTTCAAGAGTGGATGATTTTGATTTTGTATCCAAGACTGATTGACTGTGGCTCAGGACCAGATTTTTTTATCAGGAGGCTGGAAAAATGCTTTGATGTTCAATAATTTCCATAATCAGATTAATGTGATGTTAAAATAACCTCCCCAAAAGGCATTCAGTTAATAATTTCAGCTGAAAGCAAACTGATGAGATGACAGAAATTGAAAAATAGTATTAACATATCACAGCTTATGTGACATGGGTGCTACATATTTTAGGCAGAAAAGAAATACAAGTTGATCCAAGACAAGCTAGACTCTAATAAATAACAGAACTTCAGTATTAATATTGCTGTGCTAAACATGCATCTCTAATTTGCAGAAAGACTTCTGTTTGAGTAAACATAGGTAGAATTGCACTGTCTTTTTAAAAATATTCCTTCTCCCTAATCTGTCCTAAATAGCTTGTGCTAAGTCATGATAATGCTTAAGAAGACTGATCTGCACCCATCAGCTTGCATTATAACTGGACTGTTCCTCTCCAAATGCGCAAGGCATCATTCCCCAACCTGATGTCCTTCTGTGTCGGATTGAAGATGATGGGGACTAGCAGTCCCAACTCATTTGCAAGTCATCAAGCTGGGAAAAGGGACATATGGAAATCTTGCAATGCATGTGTATTATTTATCTTTAAGAAGTACAAACAGAATTTTAATGACAAAGACTTCTAGTGGATATATTGGCTGAATTGGCTAGATTTCAAAAATGTGAGCAAAACTATAGAGCTTTTTTTAGAGCTTTTTTTAGAGCTTTTAAGTATATTTTAAGAGCCTTGCTTGATCAAGCCAATGGCTTATCCAGTCCAGCATACTGCAGTGTAAGTAAAGTGACTGACCAGATGCATCTGTGCAGCTCATAAGCAGGATGTGAGACTGATAGCCCACTTCCACTTCCTAGCAGTTTCTTTGATTCTAAAGATACCATCAGGACAATTACCTGTGAGCCCTTACCCTCTACGTATTTGCCTAATCCTTTTTTAAAACCACCTAAAATTTGTCACCATCAGTATTTGGTGGCAGCAAGTTCCATAGTTTAACTATGTAATATTTTATCAGTCCTGAACCCCCCCATTTTTAGCTTCAGTTGATGGCCCCCAAGTTCTAATGTTGTATATAAGAGGGGAAAAGTCCATTCATATTTTTTCCTGCTGTGCATAATTTTATACAAATGTATGATATCCCCATTTGTCACCTTTTTGTAAACTAAACCCAAACGTTAGGGGAACTGTTCTAGCTCCATAATCATTTTGGATGCCATATTAACTGATCTATAATTCAGATCAGGTGAGTTCCACAGTTTTTCAATATAAATGTGAATACATTAGATTTATTTACATTTGTTGTTTGTTTGTTTGTTAATTTTTTTTCTTTTCTTCCTATTTAGGTTTGGGCAAAACAGCCCCAGATCCCTCAGCCACTGTTTCTCTTGATGGTGCAGATGTTCCTTTGGGCAATGGAATTCCATCTGGAGTTAGCAATACTTGCCTTATGTATAATGAGTATCCTTTGACCAGTATTAGAACAGAACATAAATAGCCATTGGGGCTGCCTGAAAGTGGTTGTTTCTAGGCAGGTGAATACTATCAGCCTTAAGGAATGTGGACTTTTTAGCATCAGTATGTGAGTTACTTCTGCAGTCTAAGAAAGTCTGGGATGAACGTCTTTGATAATCAGGGAAGAAACTGAGACAGTACAGGCTTCTGCCTGAGTTTTAAAACATGGGTATTTTTTATTTATTTATCCATGCATTTGCATGCCCCCTTATTCCAAAAATTCTATATATCTCTAAAAGCAATAAAAACTATCAAAACATGACAAAATATAGTGATGCCGTAGATCGTGCAGTCAAAGAAAATCAGTACTGCTCTCCCTAGTAGTTGCTTCCCATTAAGTAGCATATGAGCTCACTAGGTGAGCTCTGGATTTGGGTGTGCTCCCTGCTTCTCAGGTGGTAACTGGAGGGCAGGAGGGGGCTTTTTTAGTTATACTGGTGCACTGATTCTGTCTCTTTCTGGAGGAGAAAGGAACCTTGCTATCCTCACTCATCTCTTGGTGCTCTCAAGTTGACTTCTGCAGCATGCTACATTGAATTATCTTTAGTGGTATTTGAGAGGCCATACCTTGGTTAATAATACAGTATCCATTAGGAACATGAAAAAGTGCCTTATTAATGACTGTCATGCCACTGTCAGTATGCTGCCCTTCAGAAGTATTGGTTTAAAATCCTAGAATTCTCACCCATCTTGGGTCAGTTTTAAAAATCTGAGAAGGGCTTGGAGGTAGCCTTATGTCTTCCTGTTTTATTTGGCAGCACAGAAGAACACAGCAAAAATGTCTTCATTTTTTCCTTCATTCATTGCTTTCTTCAGATACATTGTCTATGATATTGCTCAGGTAAAACTGAAGTACCTGCTGAAATTAAAATTCAACTATAAGACATCTCTCTGGTGAAGATAGACTTCTTAGAGTTAATAATACAAATGTTTTTCAACACCCCCCCTTTTTTTGATAAATATGCAAGAATACATAAAAAATGAATACTATGAGCAATTTTGTATTTGTGGCTTTTTTCCCCCCTTTCTTCTCTCCTTCCCCCTCTGGCCTATTCTAGTTTTGGGGATATTGTATGTCTTTTAACTAACAACCCCCCCCAAAAAGCGGGGGAGGTCAACAACCCTTGATTTAAGCTTTTAGTAAAAGAGACAGGGAAGATAAATCTAGAACTGTTTACACACATTTTTGTTGTTTTTAATTAAAATCTTCCTTAATTTGTATTCTGAATAAATGTTAATGTGTTTATTTTGAAGTAAAAATAAAAGCTACTTTCATACTAAAACTTTCTTGTATACAAAATACAGTACTTACATGTAAGGTAAGAAGTCAAGAATAACGTCTGTGGATCCAGTCATGAACTGTTGCTCAGTCAGCACCTGAATGTGTGATACAAAAGCAGTCATAGGTGCAAAAGGGCTACATCTTATTTATCTGTCCACCGGTGGAATACTACAGCAGATTCCTTCTTCACCCTCTAAATTTGTCAAGGGTTGTAGAACAGCTCCAGAGCAGCTATGGAGGATGTGAGCAGAGGACAGCAAGAAGAAAACTTGTCATGCCAAAATTCACTTGTATAATGTTAGGCTAATACATTCCTTCAGTATCCCTGCAACTGTGGTAGATGATCATGTGTGGAGGGAGCAACAGTCTTTCTGAAGTTGGGCTCCACTCTGCTCTTGTGAGGCATGCTGGAAAAAATGAGTGTGGTCAGGCACATGTGAAGTGTACATGCTTCCAAAAAGTGCTACAGACCTAACAAAAACACAGCACCTCTCTGCTATTCGTCACAGCAGTATGGCTTATTTCAGGCTTTTGTGTGAGCCCGATGCATAAATCACTCTTGCTTCTATTGCCATTGCGCCATTTGTCTTTTTTCCCTCGCTCCCGTTTTCTTACCATTTTTGGTCCAACTGCATTCTTTCTCTCACCTGGTTTCTGGTGAGAGGAAAAAGATGTAGCTCCAACAGTACATTAATGTTTTGACTCTTTAAAACAGCCATGATGCTTTTCAAGATTGTGCAGAAGCCTAAACTAGAGGAGCTGTTTTAATGAATGATAGGTGCTGTGCTTGCATGAGCTTTGAAGCACTTCTTCCAAACTATATTTGAAGGATGCAAAGTCCTAATATGCATATTCTCCGTCACGCACTCACAGATGCCTCTCATTCTTACACATGTACACCTCCTTCCCTCCCTGCTATCTTTAGCAGAGTTGTTGAAAAGGAGGAAGAAATAACTTTTATTTCTACACCCACAACTTAGCAATCTGCTTCTATTTTGCAATTTCTCTCCATTAAAGAATAAGTACTTTGCATGCTGCATCATTGGGAGGGGTAGGAAACCTACTGTACCATCACCAAGCAGAAAGAAATATGCGACAAAGAAGCAGCTGGACTGGGAAGTGACTGAAAAGGAAACTGAACAAATACCCCAGAGACCAGGTGAGAGGAAGAATGCAGTTGGACCAAAAATTATAAGAAAACGGGAGATGGGGGGAAAAGACAAATGGCACAATAGCAATAGATGCAACAATGATTTATGCATCAGTATGATGCATGGATGGATGACATGGAGGTGATGGCAAGTGCTGCCAACCAGCATTTCTAAAGGACTGCCCAAAATCTGCACTACTTGGCACGCTAACCAACATTCAATGGCAATTCTGGCATCGGTGGGTTGCATGTTGCTTAAAGATCATACAGCTGCAATATCAAACTCCAAAATAATAATGGGACTATATGACCATAAGAGCTGATGTTTTGGTTCCTTTTCAGTCTTCATGCACACAACCCTTTACCCTGGAATCAGTTTTATAACAGCAACACATGGAGCTGGACTTGTTTTTCCTATGACTTTGCATCCCAAACTCTTGATACTCAGTCACCATCTCTCAGGGGAAGAATACTTCTTAACTCAGCATGATAGCTAGTTGGAGTGGATGGTGCGTGGACCAATGACATCACTGAGGTAGCTGATACTTCTTTGCCAACCCACTTTTTTCCATGTAGCCACATAATGAATACACACAAACACTCATTTTAATTCACTAAAGGAAAGTAACACGTTGCATTCAACCTTGCTTTTTTCCACATTTACGGCTCAACTGCGGCTTGTGTCCTGTAACAATCTGGCACTGAACTTTTCCTGCAGAAAAGCGCTGCTCTTGGCACATAGGGCACTAGTTAAAGGTAAACTGCACTAAATAAAATAGTAAACGGCGAACTAGATTAACCCAGGCAAAAGTTTTGACAGACTTGAATTTCCACACGGCTCTATCCTTTAAGATGGAAAAGATTGCTACCTTTGTGTAACAGGCTTCAAAGCACAAGCAGATAATATACTGCAATAGATTATTTAGGACCAGCTGTGTCCTAAACTTTCTGCTCTAAGAACAAGCTTGAATCTATGGTCTATATAAACTATGTAAGCAAGTATTTTTTCTCTTATATGTGATTTATTCTGATAATGTTGCACGTACTTTAATTTTGTCCCTTCACGTGACTAACGGACAAAACCTAATAGGAACAGAACAGAGAATTATATGGTGATTAACACTCAACTAGAAATTTTCAGGCAAGGATTCCAAGATCATAGATTGCCCCAGACATTTATGAGAGAGAGAGAGAGAGAGAGAGAGAGAGAGAGAGACACTTTAAAAGGGGAAATGGGGCGTAACTTGCAAAATCCTTTTGGGGGTCTCAGGAATTCTTGACGATCACAGTGCTATGCTGACTTGGATGGATGGATGAATTGTTGATTGTATTTTATTGGTCTTGAAAAGAATAGTTCGCTTTATGTGTAGCTATATTTGCTTCTTTATTTCCAGTTGTTCGTGGATAGATAGCAGGTATGCAGTTATGCCTCAGCAGCTGGCAGTAGCTAGGAGGTTTGACCCTGGTTAGTACTTGGATGTGGGAGTTTCTAGACAAGGGAATCTTTTTTAAAAGTCCCAGAAGATGGCAAACTGCTTCTGTAATACTGCCAGAAAAGACTTCATGGATTGTTAGTTTATTAGATTTATATCCTGCCATTTCTCTAAAAATTCAAGGCAGCATGTGTGGCACATTCTTCCCATTTTTTTCCTCCTACTTGAGGGTGTTTTTACTTTTTTAAAATACAGATTATTTTCAACTGTCCTTGTGATAGAAATGTGTGGGAGAATAAATCTGCTTTTTACAGGTTAACAGGACAAAAAATGTTTGTCTGTGGTCAGAAGATAGCACATGCTAGACCATAAATAAATCTGCACTCTCTTTGGAGAGATAATCAGCTTCCTGCTGCATTTGCCAAGAAGTATCTCAGGCAACTTCATGTAAAATACATAGTTAATGTAGCTTCAAGAATGAGAATGTATGCATTGCTATCACCAGTTCTGAATTATATGCAGTATTCATGACACCTATATCACACCTTAGATTGTTTAATGCCTCTGTACATCCTATCCTGTAAAACAAGTGTTAAATGCTTTTAAATCAATGTATGCCCTTCAAAGTATAATATATATATATATATTAATACATTTTCATTTGTAGGGGACAGCATGGAGGGCAGCCCCTTGTAGAGCAAGTAGCAATAGTCCCAGCTTGAGGTGACAAGGATCGGATTGATTTGTCAGCAATGACTCCTAGTGCAGGAATGGCTGCAACTGGCACATAAAGTGAAGCTGTGCAAAGCTCCTTCTGATCACATCCTCACCACCTCCTCCTGAAGGAGCCACAAATCCAGGAACACACCCAAATGGCAGAACTGATTTGCATGCAGGAGTGCAACTCCATTCAAGGGGCGATTTCCTCCAGTAGCTTCATGTAGATGTTGAACAGTAGAGGGGAAAGCCCCAAGACATACTACAACAGAGAGCCTGAGAGTTTGACCTCTTGGCCTCACCTACTGGCACCACCCATTCAGAAGGAGAAAAACCAATGCCCCATACTTCCAACATTTGCAGGTATCCCAGAAGGCTGCCAAAAAATTTGCAAGTATCCCAGAAGGCTGCCAAAAAATCAAGCAGGATCAGGAGTGTTACACTCCCACTATCTCAGTCCCACATCAACAAGAATGATCAATGCAGTCTTGGTCCTATAACCAGGCCTGAAACTGGATAGAAAAGGATCCAGATAATCTGCTTCTCCCAAGGCCCCAATGTGGGGGAGATGGGTGGCATATAAATTAAATAAATAAATAAATAAATTACTGCCCTACCACTTCTTCAACAACCTTCCCCAAGGGAAAGTGGAGAACCAGGTGGTAATTAAGACAACCAGGATGAGTGACTGAGGAGGGAGCACACCACAGCCTCCTTCAAGGCAGATCGCATTACCTCCTCTCACAAGGTCACATTAACCAGTACCTGCACCCAGTGTCCTCTCATGCTGGCAGCTTCCACTAGCCAAGTGGAGCAGGAATCTAATCCACAGGTGGTGGAGCTTACATCTCTAGAACCTAGATCCCACTTCCTTGGGATCAACAAGCTCAAACTTATCCTAGATAGTTTTCCCAGATGGTATTCTGTCATCTCAATAGAATTGGTCCAGTAGCCAGCATCAGATTACATCATAAGGCCCAGAGGGATTTGTAATATATGAGCTCATGTGAATCAATGCCCTACATCTGTTTTTGCACATGGCAATAACTGAAATGGTCAGATCTTTGATTTTTATATTTCAATTTTAGTGATTTTTGATCTGATTATGGGCAAATCCCTTGTAAAAAGCATGATAAAAGCATTTTCATCATTCATAAAAATCATGCAAAATCCAGATGCCTCATTTTTTATTGCTAGCTAGGCCTGTGCCATACCTAGCAATGTTGTGTACCCAAATAAACATTCAGCCAAACTCTCTGCTGGTCTATATGCATCTGTTACTGTTCAAAGGTATTGTGGGGCTCATAAGTGCAGTTCTTTGTCAAATGGGCCCATTTTGTATATATGACAGCTTTGCCAAAAAAAAAAGTTTTAATTCGACATTTGTTATTGCTCAGTTCACTTGAGTGCAACGTTAAAGTTTAAGAAATTATTACTAAGTTGGTGAGATGGTATTGTTTTGGATCTGCCCCACAAAGCCTAAGCCCCACTGAAAAGTGTTCATGCAAACCAAGCACAAACAGTATCTGTAAATATAATCTGCTGTCCAGATGAAGCCAGCGACCAGATGCGGCCACTGCATGCAGCCGTCCACTCTCCCCAACCCGTTTCCTCGCCTTGTGGAAAAGTAACAGTAAAGCTCTCTTGAAATTGTAGGAACTTTCCCGATGGAGCCCGAAAAGAAACACGATCGGCTCGAGTTCCCGCCTGAGCCTTCGTAGAGCCCGGGCAAATCAAGCGACTCCCGCACGTCCCGCCTCCTCCCTCCAGTCAGGCAAACTAGAGGACTCCGTCTCCTCCCCCACAATGCACCGCGGCAGGCAGCCTTTGAAAAAGCGGCGCGGCTCCTTCAAGATGGCGGAGTTGGATCAGCTGCCTGACGAGAGTGAGTAGCGATCTCTGCCCCTCACTCTGCCCCACCGCCGGTCCTTTCTATTCAGCCGCTCCTGAAATAGCGGTTCTGGCTACCGGACCCTCCGCCTAATCCCCTTTCCTGAGTCACAGTCTCGATGTTCTTCCTGCTGCGCCGGTGCCTGCTACTTCTTTTGTTGCTCCTGCTACTGTTGTAGTAGGAGCCGGAGCTGCGCGGGGCTGGAGCTACAATCTCCTCCCTCAGTGCCTGGCCCAGCTCTGTTTTCCGATGGCCTCCCCTCCGGTCTCTCCCTCGAGTTTAGAAGGGGGCTGGGGCGGGGGGGAGAGGCCAACAGAGCAGGGCCGGAAACCACTATTATATAAGCTGCCCTTCTCCCGTCGGGACTGAACCGCACCCTGAACCCCGAGACTTGGAGCAGGCCGGGACCGGTTCCGTCCTTCGCAGGGAAGAGTGCACGCCTTTTCAAGTCGGGCAGAGAACCGTTGTGGGTAGGGCAGTGAGTGGCATTGCACCTCTCCGGGGTAGGCAGAGAAAGCGAGTACAGCTTCATGGCGTAAACAAAGTAGGGGTAATATTTGTCTTGCTGTGGGCATCCTTCCAGTAGTTGTCATGACATTAGCCTCCTGTATATTTGGAGAGGTTTGTGTGTTTGACCTTTACTCTGAGAAATGCATTGGCTCGTAGGAAGCTGTTTTTAAAGTGTAATAAGTACAGGTTTATGTCTAACTCTCCTCTTGTCCATACCAAAATGATAATGTCCGTTTGTTTATGTCGTAAACCTTTTAAAGGTCTGTGAATAGAGAAGCAAGTCAAGAGTAGTTCTGTTTTGATGGTTGTCTACATAATATGATTATTATATATTTAAACAATTTGTGTATTGTATCTGGGAAATCATGGTACTATATTTTGAGTGGCCCCATCTGTATGTTGAACTTAGTAGGTTGGACAAGATTATTGGAAGCAAAGCCAAATGTTTTAAACTGAGGATGCATTTTCACTGAACTTGGAGAATGGAAGGCACACCTCTCTCTGAAAGTGCTGACTGTACAACTGGGGGTAAAGCAGCAATGAACAGACATCAGATTTGAAGAACCAATTTTGTTTTTATCTAGAATCCTGAGATTCATCAACCAGACCTTGTTGGAAGACATTTACTTGGAATTAAATAATTTAAGATCGGGAATTGAATGGATGGCATACTTCTTCCTTACAGAAATATAAATCCAAATCACTCCACGCTTCTTGTATTCAGCACTGTAATTTAAGGAGAAGGTTGAATTCATCACTACTAATATTGCAGAAGAAATTCTGATCCCCGGCAAATCACTTCAATATCTACTAGTATACACCTCATATAGAAGGCTAGATATTCAGTTTGAGCCACCAATCAAGTGGGAAGAAAATTGTTCATTGATGCATATCTTTTATAAAAGTTTGAGAGCTGCCATAGAAGCAAATTGGTAAAGATGTTTGTTTTTTGTTTTTTTGTATATATATAGATATAGATATATATAAATTAAACGTACCAATCAAGTAATGGTAAAAGGTAATGCCAAATCTTTCTGAAAAATAGATAACTTCAGTATTCCTGTCTGTATTCTGCAATACTGAATCTGATGAACCATGACAGATATGTAGAACATGTGTTCATGTTGCACAATGGATATTGAAACAAGGCAGTTGATACAAACATGAAAGAAAAAACATAGATTTAATGGGTAGACTGTATATGGTTTTAAAATAAAAATATTAATGTAATTAAAGGCATCTGTTCAACTCAAGATAAAGAACTATTTATTATATATTTAGGTCAAAAATAGTGATATACAAGTTGAAGTTTTTAAAGAAGTAATGACTATAAGAAAAACTTCTTTTTATTTTTTTATTTTATAATATGAGAGAAATCAAATTATATATTTCAGCTACATAATCTAGTGTGGAGAATTCCAGGTTTCAAAGATCCTATGGAAGATCTGGGAGCCCTCTACATCAGTTATAGGTTATATAGTGAAGGAAGAAAATTGTGTTTTGGGAGTGAAATTTGGTTCATGGATTTCACTCTGTGTGGCATGTATATGATAGCTGGACAAGAGGCCAGGCATGTAAGCACACTGCAGAACTTAATACTGTTTATTATATTTGTAGAAAATTGGAAAGTAATACATGCCATCTGTCAACGGTTTTGAATAGCAAATTGATAGTTAAGGGGGTTTGGTATTCAAAATAAATTGTAAGAACAAAATCACAAATGCTAGAATAATTTTTATGTTATCCTATATGTAACTGAAAGTATATGTAAATTATATATTAGAAAATACAGAGCATTTATGTGTGTGTGTATATATACATACACATATATTAATGAAGCTGATTCATGTAAAGAGCTTATACATTTCTATAGAAAGTTGCAGATTAGGCCGTTGCTACTTTCTTAAATGCTGTGTACCTTTTGATTTACCTAATGCCTCAATAAATGTGTACCATGTTGAAGAATCAATGTGGATAACAAGTATTGAATTATTTAGACTTCTCATGTCATTTACCTTTGCTTTCACTGCTTAAGCCACAAGCTGAGAGCATGGCTATCATATTTTGTTGTATACAAGAAAAGCTCTTCCATACCAGGAATATATTAATTATGTTCTAAATAAGGTTTAGTTATATTCACTAAATTATCATTGCAATCCCATGTCATTCCAACTGTAGCAATGTCTGACAGAGTACAGAATCTTAGGATTCTGTAAATATTGCTGGAGTTTAGCTTTTATCAGTCCTAGACAAGATGGTTAGGGTATCTGGATTATGATAGCCAGAATATATCATCTGGTCAGAGAAGTCTGTTTTTTATGTGTTGGACTTAATTCTCTCAAACACTAGATATCAAAACTACTTGGGGTTTTCTACTTCAGAAGTTTAGTTTGTAGGCTGGGATTCGCATGATTATATCATTCCTATACAAGAGGTCATGGCTGTGGAAAGCTAGATGTTAGAGTCTACTTAAGTTTACTTCTACATCTTCTGCCTGTGAAGACTTGATTCTCAAAGGAAAGGGGTTTTGATTAATACTGATTCTAAAAGGAAGCCTTTTTCTAGCACCACCTGCATACGTATATACACATACACTGAGTAGAAAGTTTAAATTAACATACATATTCAAATTCATTTCTGCAGAAAATTAGATGATTCTCTAACAGTCTAAGGACTACTACCTAAATTCCCCAACTTAAGCTAAAATCCTAAATATATTTACTGGGAATTTAGTCCAATTGAAGTAAGTTGGATGCCTGAATAGGGCTGCAAAGCATAGTGCTATATAGGCATTATGTAATACTGTAGACATTTATCAATGTTTTGTTGCTGAGTAAGTGAGCCTTATGATTAGCCAATCTAGCTGAGAAAACCTGCATTGCTTTATGACTTAGAGAAACATCTTATTAGCTTAATGTAACAATGTATGAATAGGTGTTTATAAAACAGAAATAATATATATTATCTGGTGATATGGAATCATTTGGCAGTATAAATATAGAAAGTTAGTAATTAACAAAATTCTCTAATTCATAGAACATTCTGCTGAGGATAGCCACATAAAGGAAGGAATAATTATATAAATACAATAAATAAATAAAAATAATTCCAGCCATAATGTTGCAACTGTGTCCATGTTTGTAAGCTTCTGGAATGCATCTGACAGAATGCTGGACTAGATAGGCCAATGGCCTGATTTAGCAGACTGTTGCATCTTCCTGCATCTTATCTCTGCTAATATTTTTCTTTACAATTTATTTAGTTGCATAGTGTAAAGCCTGTTATTCAGCTAAATATCTGTTGCTGAAGATACCTTTCTTCATCAAAGTAGAGTTGTTGAGAAGTTAATGCAGACATATTAGAACAGAATTTAAAAGCATGTTCATACTACTTTCCTCTTCTATTAAAAAAAAACAACCCTAATCTGGTGCATAAATAAATATATTAATCCAACAATTACAGGTCATATTATTTCAGCTTGAAACATTTCAGGTCCTTAATGCAAAATATTTACAAGCTATCTGTAGAACTTACTATTTTTATGGGTCCTACCCACTCAAACAATGTAAATGTTGTGGTAAAGTTGAAGAGAGACTCAAGCATCTTCTGTAATTCTGATTAAAGGACATATATTGTTAAACCCCACTGAAAGCTTCCTTTGGGAGTATCCTGTGTTGTGTCTTGTATGAAATTGCAATAAATGCTCCTAAAAGATTTTTTTTTTTTTAATGAATGCGTGGTAATAAAAAAGACTGTCCAGTCTATGAGACTTTGATCCTGATTTGCAGGGAATAGAAGTTGTGGTGTGACAGTCTGAATGTAACCAGTTTATTATAAATTGAGAAATAAGCACTAGGTGTGGAGTGTATTGAGCAAGCACAAGACTTAGTCCGGTAGCATTAAACTGTGATTTGACATACATTAATTTACACTAACTACTGTGCTTCTGGTATTTTGTTTTACATTTTAACTTTGTTTTGATTATTACACCTATAATCGCTAGTGCATGCTTTTTTTGGAATATTAAGATTTTTTTTCGTAAAAAATTCTCTCCTTGTATGGAGCTATAGATTTTCATAATTATATTTCCTTGATTGAGATACCTGTCAGTGTAAAAGTTTTGAAATTGATTTACATCTATAAGGTAGATATGGTTTAAATGCTTTCTTTTTAACACCAAAATATCGTCATTAGTAGAGTAGGGAAAAGTGGAACAACAGATCTACCATTTATTTGTTTGTTTGTTTGTTTATATTTCACATTTGTCACTGCCCATCTTACTGTGGGGTGATTCTGGGTGGTTTACAGTAAGATTTAATCCTTAATCTTGCTGTCCCCTGCTCACCAAGCAGAAGGTGTATAAATTGGGGTGAATGGATGAATTAACAATGCCAACTTCATTGCTAGCCTAATTGAAAGGCTTGGATTGGGTCCATCTGGAAGAATAGAATGTCTTTGGATCTGTTATCGGCATATGGATTTTAAGACTAAGCTCTTAAAAACGTCAGATGTAAATGCAGCAAGAGTAGTGACTTTATTGTGAGAAATAATGTCACCTTATTGAGTTTTGTTATTTATTTCAGGTTCATCAGCAAAAGCCTTGGTTAGTTTGAAAGGTAGGACAACCAGATTATTTCTTCATATGTAGTATTTATGAAGGTTAAATCTTACAAAAATGCTTATTTAAGTAGTACTTTATGCTATGGCTGAATTTACACATTGTACAAGCTGTAGTATTTTTAATCATTGTTTGTTGAACAAGTCACAGTAGCCTTGTTCACATAACACCAAGTCATAAAACCACAGCTTGCAAGTGAAGTGCCTGGGTTTATGCACCATACTGAGCCCAAAGCAAATCACATTATGATTTAATGGATTGTGTGAACCCATTTTTAGAAGTTACCTACTCATTTATGGCAGTACTTGGTTGACCTTGTGCAAAGCAAGGTTGGGCCCAATTAGTACTTCGACAAGAGAGAACCACAGCTTGTAGGATAAACATGCATAAAATGACTATATATATGGAAAAGTGGTTATATATATATTTATGGAGTCAAGCTCAACTCAGAAGGTTTAACTTCAGATGACATCAGATCACCTGGAGTATAGTTACAGGGGATAGCATTTGCAGGAAAGTTGAATGTATATGTACTAGCATGTTTGTAATGTACTTGGATTTATTATGCCGTATTCATGTGCTGTAATCTTTATTTTATTTTTGTATATTCTACTTTTCTGTTAAAAGAAATATCCTGTGAATAAGTGAACAAATTTCCAATATTTCTATGAAAACAACCAATAAGAAATAAAACAAGACAAATAACAGAATAAATTAACAATGGGTAAAAGAAACAGAAGAAGATTAAATTAATCCACAAAACTTTCCAGAATGAAAATTTTAACTATGCAAGAAATCAAGACATGAAACTTACATGTATTTACATTTATAGGTAGTTTTCCTTTATAGAAATAGGGATGTGAAAATCAGGAAGATAAATGAAAAATAAATTGAGGAATTTGGGGTCAGTATACGTAACATATCCAAATTATTTTCTCTTTGAATGTTATATCTAAGCAATCTGAAACTTAAAACTAATTCAATATTATTTTAAAATTCTGATTAAAAATCAAATATAATATTTTAAATTTCTACTTTAAAAAGTACCATAATTCATTATTTTGAAATGAAAATTATACCTTTCCCCTAAAATGCTCAACCCACACAGAATTTCCCCCCAGATTGGAAGGAGAAAACATTTCTCTTTCAGCATCAACATTTCTACCTATATACATACCTATCACTCTGTACCCTTTTGGGGTAAGCAATGTTATGCAAAGTCCTAAAAGAAGTAAGAAATGTAAGCCAAAGAAATTTAAGGCATGAGGTAAGAAAATAATTTCATCAACTCCTCCAACTGTGACTTTCTGGGTCTTCCTTTTTGTTATGACCATTAAGTCATCTTTAATATATTTGTTTTGTGATTCAATCCTTTTATTCTCCCTGTTTGATCAAACCATCTCAGCAGGCTTTTGTGCTAGTTACTCACTCTTGTATTCAATGCACATTCATCCAACATCTATTCATTCTTGACATTATCTCTTCTTAAGAACTTCATTGTCATTGTGTTCAACTTTTATATTTCTTCTGACATACCAAACTCTCACTCCTATATAATAAAATACATTATCATAAACAGCTATTTTCACTTCTTTAGCAAACATTCATTCTTTGCAACAGACCACATACTACCCACTTTCTACCAACATTTGCATATCACAAAATTTCCCCATCCACTTTCCCATGTTTCATAAATATTCTAGCAAATACATAATCTTTTCTGTTTTCACCATTTATGTAAAACTTGACAATCATTCACTCTGTTTTCTCTACTGTGGTCTTTGATATGTTAATTGTTACAGTCATGCTCTTTATTGCATCATATAATCTATTTAATATTTGCTGCAAATTGTTTGGGTTCTCGGCCAACAATATAGCATCATCTGGACACAAAAGTACATGCGCATTCACATCCCAGACAAATACACTTCTAATGTCAACACAAGTATTCCATATATATTCATCACATTAAGCAATGAGGGAACATCAAAATCTCCGTCTTACCTCCTACACAATGTTGAACCCACATTTGCTCAAAACATTCCATAAGCCAAGCTATTCACTTTATCATACACTTCCTCTGAATCAAAAAGTATATTATAAGTATTCTTTCCCACGTGTGTATGTTTTTTAATGATCTAAGAACAAAATCTAGTCTACACATCTGCTGCCAAGTAGAAAACCACACTGCACTTCCCAGATTTTGCTCACTATCATCTAACATTCCCTTTCAGTCAGAATTCTGTCAAAACTTCCCAACCATATTTAACAAATTAATTCATATACGGTATAAGAGTTTTCATTCACTCTTGCTACCTTTCTCTTTCTATAGGGAAACAGTAACAGCATTCTATCAATTGTTAGGCACAGATGCAGTCTTCACAAACACATTAAACCAGTCACACAGTAACTTATTAAGCAAACCACATCTAAATTTATTTCTGCAGTACACCATCAACGCCTAGCCTTACCATTTTCAACACTCCTACACCCATCCACCATTACTTCTTTGTCATCAATGTTTTCTTGAACACTGACATTTATAGCATTTGTTTAAATTCCACTCTTCAATATGTCACTATCATTCCCATACAAATGTTTAAAATACTCCAGCATCCCTCATTTCAGTTTCATCCTAAATCATTTCATCTCTTTATGGAGTGCTAGAGACTCCTCATTTGCCCCCCTTCATGCAATTCCAAAACAACTTTTTATTTCCATCAAAATCACTTTTCACTTTTCTGCCTCTTTAAATCTTAACCATTTCTTGCTGTCTTGAACTGCAGTACATTCTTTGCAGCTTAATATACTTTCTCAATATACATGCTATGCATTTTAGCCCTTTCAGTTAAACCAAATCTTCACTTCCACGTATGTATTCATTAATTTTAGTTCACAAGATTCATTCAGATCTATTACATATTTCTCATTTCTTCTACATTCCAGGTAGAAGTCTTCCATATGCCATAATTTTCACCATGTGGGTCAGTAGATTTGTCTCCACAGCCCATCATAGCTTTGGTTAACTAAGGTTTTCACATAACATTTTAGTAAACAAAGAGAAGGTTTAGACAACCTAATTACACTATGCCACACAGAGCATTCCCTGCTGATAAGTTCTAACTTTGTGAGTTTATACCAACATTTAAAAAGAAAGTTGATGCCCAGTTGCAGCGGTAACTGTGTAGGGGCTCAAATAGTCAAGATGGTGGTTAGCAGTGTTGCAATCAAAGCCTCACCCTTTTCTGCATGTATGCAGCATTGATACACATACAAAAGGGGCAGGGCTTCTATTGCCACAACCACCATCTTGCTTTTTTTCCATCCACACACACACACCCTGCAGATGCCACTGCCCATTTGTGTCCAGGGAATAATATTAGCAAAGAGAGTACTTTGCCCCTGGAAGATCATTGTGCAGCATAAATAAAGGGGTAGTCCTATGCATTTGTAGGTTCCTGCGTCTTCTTGATTACCATAAACTATTTCTAGATATACCATCCATGGATGGATGGATGGATGGATGGATGGATGGATGGATGGATCTATTTACAGGCATTCCAAAGGCTGTTTTTTGTTCCTTTCTTTAGTGGTGGTCCAAAGGATAATTTGTTTTTATACTTAAAAACAGATTGCAAATACAGCCTCTTAGCACATATAAAAACGGTTTGCTTTGGGGGGGGTACCCCTCCCTTTTTGGGAGGAGGTGAAAGCACACAATAGAATTGATTGGGTTAAGAGCAAAGAAAGTTGAGGAACTGCTTCTGAAAATATTTTGTTTCTGTCCAATGGATTTGACATATACTGCTCTGGCTGAAATAGCCTCATTGCAAGACAAAGTTACTTTGAAAATGAAACCAGATAACTTGAAATGAATTAGATGTAGAGTCCCAGAATGGGAATGTAATTTACATAACTCACATTTTAATCTTAATAATTATGCATGATTTGTGAAAAAAACTTTTGTATTGATTTTGCAAATATGAAAGGAATCATATTTAAAACATTTATTTATTTTATTTTATTTATCAAATTTGCCACTGCCCATCGTGTTAAGCGACTCTGGGCGGTTAAAATATATAAATATATAAATAAATATATAAAAAACATAAATATATAAAAAATATAAAATATATAACTTATTCATAACAGAGGGAAGTTTATCCAATACATGGAATGAAAAATTCAGTTCTTTGCAGAAAACACCCATTTGGAAAGGCAAAAATGCAGGAGCTGCTGTAGAAATGGTAAGAAGCAACTTTTATCTTAAATGTGTTGATTTAATACATTTTTATCTATCATTCTTCCAAAGCTGAAGATGGTTTTCATTGTGTTCTCATGTGGTTTGCCTAAAAAGCTAGCTAAACCCACAACTTGCTTTCCTTTTCCTTTTACATTATAAGATATAGAGGGTATAAACTTTTTTTTTACCTGACTTATAAAACTGAAAATTTAACATTTTAAATGAAAATAGAAGGAAGAATCCGCTGCACACTTTTTTTTAAAGTAACCTGCTACTAAGTAATGGGAGGAATTTACCAAGAAGGCTTGTTGCAGTCATTCTTCTAATTTGTGAACCCCTCTCAGGAAGCAAGCCATAAGGATGACAGATTCTGAAGTTAATGTAATTCTCTCCAAGTTTCCCAGTCCAGGTGTCATGAACAACTGTTTCTCTGCTATTTTTGTTTTTATTTTGTTTTTGTGCCTTTGAGTCAATGTTGACTCCTGGCAACTGCCTGTACAAGTCCCTGTAATTTTCTTGGCAAGATTTCAGAACTGGTTTACCATTGCCTGCTTCCTAGGGCTGAAAGAGAATGACTGACCCAAGGTCACCTAGCTGCCTTTATGCCTAAGGTGGAACGAGAACTCACAGTCTCCCGGTTTCTAGCCTGGTACCTTAACCACTACACCAAATTGGCTCTTTTCTCTGTCTTGAGGTAGCAGTTAATCCATCAGATATATCTCAAAGTTATGAAGTCACTCCAAGTTTCCTACATGCATAAGAAAATTCAGTCGTGGATTGTGTTGGAACAAGAATCATATGATTCTCTATATTTTGATATTCTTTCTTCAGATACCATTCTTAAGGGCTGGTGGAAAAGTTTCAGGGTCAGAATCTGCTGGGTCTAAGGCAAAAACAGTGGAGACAATATCTGGGTCAGCATCATTACTGGAATCTGGCAGTGCAGGGTCTGCTTCCTCATCTGAGAAGGGCCCTTAGGAGCACGCTACAACACTCCTATCACATTTCAAAAACTGGCAGCTCCCTTTGTTTCTTTAAGGAATCAGTCAAATTCTTCATTGTCCACAAAGGATCCTCGTGTCTCTCCTGCACCATTACCAACACTAATAAAATTATCTACTAAAGATTCAGTGATCTAAGAGGCTTACCTTTCCAATTCCAATCAGGGCAAAAACAAAATAAGGAAAAAAGGTCCTGGCTCTTGATTCTTACCAGCTCCTTGAAGCACAAGATTAGATCTTTGAAAGAAAGATTCAGGATAGATGCCCCTTGAGATTTACTCCTCCAGACTGCCCTCTTGTTCATTAGGTGGTCATATCCATGATCATCCCCTTTAGCCATCTTGAGATCACTGAGATCATGGTTGATTACCTTAAAGCTACTCTGATTCCAAAAGGATCTCTCTCCAGTTTAACTTGGCACCATGCCATCCCACTCTTCTAGAATAGATCATTGATTTGCTCAAGTCTTTCACAGTCAAGAGATCTGTACTCCCTAGAACAGTGGAAAATATAGTGAGGCAGATCATTATACTTTCACTCATATTTTTCTCAGTTCACCACTTAATTATGTCTTGAACCAACCATGTAATGCACAGCTTTTGCAAACATAACTTTCTTACCCTTCTGTCTCCTCCAAGATGCTCCTTTCGAGCAGAATTCCAACCCAGCACGGCCTTTTGCCCCAGATTTATCATCTTCTTTCCAGTCGGTTAAACCTACATCTTCTGTGACCATTCCACCTCAGATTTTATCCACATCTAGCAACTGCATTCGTACTGTAGTGATGCTCATGCTGATCTTGCTGAGCCTGGCAATTATGCTTCTGATACTTCTTTGTTTATTCATATTTAGCATATTCTTTAATATTGTCACCTAATGCTTGCCTTGGAAACTAAGTGCCCACCTCTCCTTTAGAAAGTTTCCATTCCTACAGCAAACACATTGATAAGATGGCATATTATGTTGGCTTTGAAGTTTAAAAGTCTTCTCAAGTGTAAAGGCCACAATACACTAATTAGTCTAAGACATAGCAACTTTGCAAATTCTCATTTCAGTACTTCCATTTGTGCCGAAGTCAACAAAAGATTCCTGGGCCAAGTTGGTTTCTGTGCTATCAACTTCATGCTGCATCAAGAATATTTTATTGGTTAAAGGAAGAGGGATACGTTTTCTTATTCCAACATTCACACCTAACTCTGTTACAGTGGAAGCATCATAGTCAGACTTCTATTATCAACATCATATTCCACCCATAGACAAGGAGGGAAGGAAATTAAGAGTAAGAGTAAGATGTAAGTGATATACTTTAGGTGCCCCCTCTTTCCATATTGCTATCTAATCAAGCATGGGTGGCTAAATACTATCATTTTTTTGTGACAGAAGGTATCTCCATTCCTACTTCAATTACCAAAGAACAAGTGGCAAATTATCCAGGTTTTTCATATACTAGCAACTTGTTTTGCCAAACATGAATTAAATATGGTTTATTGTGTAGCTGATTCAGCTGCCAAAGTTACAGCATTTTCCATCACCCTGTGTTGCCATTCTAAACTGACATTGGAGACTAAGAGCCTTCCATGTGATGAGGACAGATGATTCAACACTAAGCCTTATGATACCTTGGGTGGGGTTTATATGCTTTATATTGCACAGATGGGACTGCAGCAACTCTACTTCATTCCTTTCTGTTGCCATCCATGCTCTATTAGTAGAGAAACTACTATTCTTTTAGATAGAAAGAGCATAAGCCCAGGGCCTCTTACTAGACATTGGCATTAACTATACATCCAACACAATAGACCCATAGGCACCAGCCTCAAGACTAACAGTACTCCTTGATTCTGGGGCATTGACAGCTTTCTTCTGGATTATTCCTCTATTGGTGTAATGCCAAATAGCCAGATGGGCTTTGTTCTCCTCCTTACCAGCACTATAGATTGAAGTTTGATTCCCAAAGAGATGTAACCTTTGGAAGAGCTGTTGTCTCTTCAATCGCCTTATGACAACTAAGCTCTCTTCCAAGTAAGAAGCTTCTTACTCACCTGTGTGTGTGAATAACAAAGACCATCATGAGAGAACTGGTTACATGTACTTGTAATTAGATCTCTGAATGGTCATCAATTAATTCACACTTCCTGCCCTCTTCTCTCATTTGATCTCAGATTATGTCACTATTCTTTTCCATCAAGTTAGAGAAGGCTATTCTAGATTGTCATCATTCTATATAGATAAGGTTTTTTTCCCCAGAAAATTTACAATGAGCTTGCTGTATTGCAAGAACAGGTATTGCAAAACCTTACAGTCTGCAAGTCAAGTTTTTGTTTGGTTGGATTTTTTTGGTTGCAGCCCTTCAGAAATTCCAAACGAACTCGTTCCTTTTGTGAAGAAGACGAAAGACAAATGAATACAAGATCACCAAAAAGAAATCAGAGAGTTGGAATGGTCCCACAGGTACGCTTATATATGAAACTGTTCAGTGATAAGTGGTTGTGTGTTTGAAATTTTGACAGCTTATTAACAAGTTTGTGAAACATAGAGCATACTTATATTAAAAACTGGGAACATCACTTTTTGCAGCAGAAAAGGAATTTGCTGATTCTATCTGCAACTCATTCCTTCCATTAAAATTATGCTGTAAGGGGCCGATACTCCTTCCAAAGCAAGGGCATGGGGAAATCAGCAAATGTGCTTTCTACTTCCCTTTCCTGCTTTAACAGCAATCTTCTGTGGATGAGATAAACTTTTCCTTTATGGAAGTTAATGTTTAGATCCAACACTATATTGAGGTGATAAAAAATACATGTAAAATAGGCATAGAGTTGCAGATTATTGTATATAATAGATAAAATCCAAACATGTAAATCCCTACTGATTTCACTTTAATTAATATTTAATATTAATATTTCACTTTAAATTTTTAAATGTCATATGTTAATAAGCCTCTATTTATCTTTATATTACCTAGAAATTTACTGTAACAGTGCCAACACCAGACAAAAAAGCATCACAAAAGATTGGTTTGCGGCTACGTAATTTACTCAAACTTCCTAAAGCCCACAAATGGTGTATATATGAGTGGTTCTACTCAAATATAGATAAGTATGTATGATTTTTCATCTATTACTTTAAATCAACTTATGACAATTAAGCTTTCTGCTTATTTTCACTTGGCTATGTTCCACTACAAAATTTAATTAATAGGAATAAAGCAAAATAACTTTGTCATTATTTAATATTGTTAAAACAATTAACTTAGCTGCTAAATTGTTTGTTTCTAAATAAATTTTTAAGAGGGTAAGAGACAACTCTCTTTCAAGTTAACCTCAATTTCTGTTGACTTCATAGTCAAACTCGTGTCATTTTCTTGACAGTAATCTGGAAATGGTTTGCTATTCTCTTTTGCAGGACATATTTTTGGCTTCCCAGTTTAGCTGCATTTCTAGTATTCCCTGAAAATGTCTCATCCAAGTACAGTTCAGGCCCATATCGGCTTAGCTTCATAGCCCAAACAATTGTATATTGTACCTTGAAATTAATTCTAATAGATAACAGTATGTAGTGCTTTGGTTTATTGTGCAATTATTTTAAAGTTAAATTATAATAAATAATAAATCTAATACCTATAGTACCCATAGTAATAGAAATGCAAATATTTTGTAAAACATATGGTATCTATATTGTAAAATATTTTTAATGATATTTTTGTATCTAGTTGTAATGGAGAAATAGTTACACATTAAAGCTGATAAATATTTATTTCAAATTGGTAATTGTTCATTTCTCACAAGTTTAGAAATAAAAATTTACTTTTAAGTTACGTTTAATTTACATTACTTTATCTTCAGTATATATAGAAGTCTTATGTAAATATAAGTAAAATTTCCCTAATATATTGTTAAATAATTCCTGAAAACATCCATATCTATAGTGACAAAATATCAACTGTTTTTAATAGGCCATTGTTTGAAGGAGATAATGACTTTTGTGTTTGCCTGAAAGAATCTTTTCCAAACCTGAAAACAAGGAAATTAACCAGAGTGGAATGGGGAAAAATTAGACGATTAATGGGAAAGCCACGAAGGTAAAATTTTAGTATATTTTGAAGTATTAGGCCTTTTAGGCTATGTTGTTGTGTGTGTGACTAGTGATGGTGACTTTTATTTGATGGTTTCCTAGATGATTCCTTTTAAAAAGTGCTGGATAGCTTTTAAAATACAGATTATGTCACATAAGTACAGTTGAGAATGAAGAAATGTGACATTTTGTTTTTTGGTTTTTTTGTCAAGTAGATGCAGTTTTCGTATCTAATAGAAAATGATATGCTTATAGCTATTAGTATGTAAATGAGTTCTACAAAGTTGTGCAATGAATTTTAAAAATTGACCTATTGTGTATGAGATTTAAAATCATATACAGTATCCTGTCCACAAAGCAGCCTACATGATGCATATCATTGAAAGCCACTTACCACTATCCCCCTAGTCACTCTGGGGCATTGAGATTATGCAGGTGAAAAATGCAATTCCTGATTAACACAATTACAAGCTTTCCCACTTTTGTTTTTCAAAAAGGCAAAGTCACTTATTAAGCCTATAAACTGGTAATGTTGATGTCAAAGGACCTTGAGAATCAAAACAAAGAGCTCCTTCAGTGGTTCTATTCTTACATCATGAGCTGATTTTAAAAGATGATATTGGGGAAATACTGCTTTGCTTGTTCTCCAGACATTTACACCAAAAGATCACATGAAATTCTATTTCAACCCTTCATCTTCCTGAAACTACTTAGTAGGAGCTTTCTGTATTTTGGAGTGGATGTCATTAACATGCTGATGACACCAGCTCTGTCATTTTCATCTAATTCAGTTGAGGCTATGGAAGTGCTAAATTGGAGATCAGAATAAGTAATGGACTAAATGAAACCAATATAATGAAATTGAAGATAGATGGAATGTCTGCCCAGGAAGAAGGTAATCAACTGCACTCAAATATGTTCTTTGGTGATGTTCAGATCCAGATTTATTACCAGAGGCCCAGGTAGCATAGATTGCCATTCACCAGAAATCTCGTACATTTCTGTGGCTGCTGCTTGTATAAAGACAGCTGGTTTTATCAGCCACATCACAGACTCCTGTATTATGTTCTAATGGGATTGCTTGTGAAGATTCTCAGGAAGTTGTAGTTGGTACAAAATACAGCTAGTTGTATATTAAATGGGAACATTAGTTGGAAATATACAGTCAGGTCCAGAAATATTGGGACATCGACACAATTCTAACATCTTTGGCTCTATACACCACCACAATGGATTTGGAATGAAACAAACACAATGTGCGTTAACTGCAGACTGTCAGCTTTAATTTGAGGGTATGTACATCCAACTCAGGTGAACGGTGTAGGAATTACAACAGTTTGCATATGTGCCTCCCACTTGGAGACCAAGATCAACTTGTACCAGAGTGATGGGAAGAGAAGAGTATGGAGAAGGAAAGGAACTGCTCATGATCCTAAGCATACCACCTCATCAGTGAAGCCTTCTCCATACTCTTCTCTTCCCATCACTCTGGTACAAGTTGATCTTGGTCTCTTCTCCATACTCTTCTCTTCCCATCACTCTGGTACAAGTTGATCTTGGTCTCTTCTCCATACTCTTCTCTTCCCATCACTCTGGTACAAGTTGATCTTGGTCTCTTCTCCATACTCTTCTCTTCCCATCACTCTGGTACAAGTTGATCTTGGTCTCTTCTCCATACTCTTCTCTTCCCATCACTCTGGTACAAGTTGATCTTGGTCTCTTCTCCATACTCTTCTCTTCCCATCACTCTGGTACAAGTTGATCTTGGTCTCTTCTCCATACTCTTCTCTTCCCATCACTCTGGTACAAGTTGATCTTGGTCTACAAGTGGGAGGCACATATGCAAACTGTTGTAATTCCTACACCGTTCACCTGAGTTGGATGTACATACCCTCAAATTAAAGCTGACAGTCTGCAGTTAACGCACATTGTGTTTGTTTCATTCCAAATCCATTGTGGTGGTGTATAGAGCCAAAGATGTTAGAATTGTGTCGATGTCCCAATATTTCTGGACCTGACTGTATGTCATCTGGGCTTAAAGAGCTCCACTGATTTCCAAATTGTCTTAGGTCCAATTCAAAATTATTATTATTAACCTTTCAAGACTGGAATCTCTGAAGGAGTATCCATAACATCTCTGTAGGACTTCTCTGCAAGACATCCCCATCATGTGAGATAAGACAGATGGCAATGAGAAAATCAGTTCCAATGCAATATTACTTTAATGTCATTATCAGCACCTTTTTAGTATTAGAAGTATTAATCTAACACTTCTGGATTAAACTTTTTAGATAAATACTTTAACACTTTTAGATTATGAAGCTAGTGCTTTTACTTTGTAAACTGGTTTATGGCTTATTGTGTATATGATTATATGGCTTTTATTTTGTAAACTACTTTGGTATAGTAAGGTGTTCATGTATGTGTGTATGTGTACGTCTGTGTATGTGTATACGTGGTACATACTTCGCTCACCTAATCCATTAAAGCATCTAGTCAGTTTGTAATAATTTTTTAGTCCAGAAATTAGAACACTACAAGTACAGTATCATTGTATTATAGTAGAGATCTTTAGAATAACAGAAATTCTATTGTGCAAGTTTCTTAATCTGTTGGTCAGGATCCCTGGAGAGTCACAAGCTAGTTAGAATGGGGGCAGGGGGTGTCACAATTTTTTTTAAAAGATATGATCAGCTTTACACAGGCAGAGTGCAGTCCAAATTTGCTCTGTGTTTTGCTCCTTGCTTTGCCTGCACAAACCCCAGAGGGCAATTATAGTACCACAGGGTTTTAAGGATCCTTGTAATTTCTTATCCAACTCCAGTGCAATTTTTATTGATCTAGGTAGAGCCACACAAATTCATTTATCTTGTGGGTCACAGAACTGAAAAGTTTGAAAATCTCTGCTATAGAGAAAACTTAAATGTATCAAAGCATTTATTTAGACTAACAGTCATATTATAAATTACTCAGCTTAATCAAATTTGTATACATTACAAAATAGAATATATTTTCCAGATGTTGTAGGTAGACTCCATTGTGAAGTATGGGCTCTCTCAGCTAAGAAGGGCCTCTCACCTCCTGTACTCAGTCTTCCATACTAGAATGAGGACTTTGGTATGGGGATTTCCAGTTTGATGCCTATTGCAGCCTAGGATACCTTTCCGTCCAATTGCATCCAAGACCTGTGTCTCTCAGAATTCTCCACAAGGAAGGAAACACTGCAGATTGTCCTGCATCCCTCTTTTCATATATCCTCATATTGCAAGACAATTCTGCTATCATTGCAGGGGAACACAATTTTTCATGGCATTTCCTGCATAAAGAAAGTGGCTGCCTTTAGGAATGTGCAGAATACAAATAATCAGAATCATAATCTGCTTGCTGGGGGTGGGGTGTATACTTAAAGCAAGTTGTGTACTAGTGCAATCCCCTGTTAACTTCAGAAGGGCTGGCATGGGTGACATTTCCAGAGGATTGTGCCTCTTATTATTTGCTGCCATCACCATCCCCCCAAGTTATTGCTCACCTTTGGTTGTAGGCCTGGTAAGTCAAAAATGATTGAAGTATTCTGTGCTCTCTATCCTTAAAATTCCCCCTAAAACAAAGCTGACTTTGTGCAGCCTCTATCGTCTAATGATGCACCTTACAATAAGATGAAATCCATATGCACCACTGCACTTGCCTTGCACTGTTTTCTTAAGTTTATTGTTTGCCACACTCACTGTTACATGTCATATTTAATAATCCAATAATTTCCCTGTGCTTAAACATCTCACCCCTCTTACCACACCTTCAGTTACTATTAGGCCAATGAATGTCTTTCTTTGATTTTTGATGGTTCCTTTTGCTGGAATTTAGTACAACTAAATTAGTTGCTTGGAGGATGGGGTGAACTGCCTCTTTCTTCTAATGTAATCTTGTAAAATACATTCTAATTAAAAAAAATATTTTTGTACTGCTATAAGTTTACAAAGGTTAATAAGATAACCAATAAACAAGTTACCTGAGGGAGAAAAAAAGGAATGTGATTTAACCAAGGGGAGGGCTTTTTCTCAAGCCCACCCTCTGATGTGAAGGTAGTCCAACTCTTTGCTGGATTAAATGCCCCATGTCCTCCATCCACCTTAGAATGAATGGCACCCAAAACTTTGAGAACAGAATCTAAGTAACAGGTCATCAGTGTGGGTGTTGAACAATTAGATGGGTTAGCATTAATCCTCTTAGGGCATGTTCTGCAGTAACAATCTTTTATAAGCTAAATGTAGTGCCTGCTCATTTAAGGAACCAAAGAATTGTTTGCTATAATTGCATCCAGAGGTTTTGGCCATGTGTTACAGTCAAAGCATGATCCAAATAAGTTTCATCAAAAGAATGTTGCACATTTCTTTGTTGCTGTTTGGTCTCTTAAAATGATCTAAGAAGATTGCAAAACATCACACCACGAATAGAAATCTTCTTTTGAAGTATAACATAACATCCTTGAGCTGCGATCATATGTACATTTATGTAAGAGTAAACCTCTCTGAAGGCAGTAGGGTGTAACGTATTTCCAAGTAAACTTTCAGTGCACAAATTGATTTATTAATTGCTGAAATGTAAACATAGTCCTCATAGCCTGTCAGTAGTAGAAGTGGGCAACATGCAGCTGACATCATCCTATGCTATAGGTCATGTTAATGGAATTACAGAAAAATCTGGAGAGCTGTATGTTGCTTAGCCCTGCCCCAGTAATAGCTGTGGTGTTAGCTATTACTGTTCTTTGTTTAATGGGTGAATCTGTTGTTGGCAAGCTTGGACTTTCTTATTTCCTGTGGCTTAACATGAATATTTAGGTCTTGTTAAAAGTCCTTCAGGAAACAATTCCTGCCTGCTTATTGTTAGCTTTACTTAGAGAAGATTTCCACATGTAAATATTTCATAAAAGCATTTTATTGTACCTCTAGAGGACCAGCTGCAGGATTTGTACAAATTTGTGCATGAGCACAGATGAAAAAATCAGAATAGTTTCACTTTCTGTTTTGCAGATGTTCCTCTGCATTCTTTGAAGAGGAAAGGTCAGCGTTGAAACAGAAACGGCAAAAAATTAGACTGCTGCAACAGCGAAAGGTGGCAGATATATCCCAATTTAAAGATCTTCCAGAAGAAATTCCATTGCCACTAGTAATAGGCACAAAAGTTACAGGTACTTTTTATCAGTTTTACATGAAGCCTTTTATCACTTTACATGAAGCCTGATTTTGAGTTTTACAGGCCTAGCTTAGTTTGAAAATAACTAGGCAAGTTTAGCTTTTGCATATACTATTGCATCCCTCCATAAAAAAGATTACTTTCTCTAGCTCATTTAAATGTTTCAGGCCTAAAATTACTCAGCTTGTCATAAAATGTATGAAAAAAGTACTTCAAAACTTTCCATCTTTGACAGGGAACCATATCCTGAAATCAAGTGCAAACATCCACAATATGTTTATCTCACTCTATCATCTTTGTGGTTGGTGCTGTTTTATTTTTCTGAGCAGCCAAACATTATTTAATCTGTTTCTAACAGTTAATACACCCTGACTGATTATCATGATGATAATTCTGGGTGCATCCTGCCCTGCTGATATCCAGCAGTCTTGCCATCAGCCTTCTAGAATAAGGTTATCTCAACATTATCCAGCATTATTGAGCAACAGGAGTACCATTTTGTTTCAACTGCCCACCATTTTGAGTTTTGACATTTATTTTTTTACACTATGTACTTATGAACAGGCACAGTATCTTGTGGTTCTCCATAAGTACAGAAAAGAGTATCCTGAAAATCTAATTTAGCTTTTTATAACTACATGAGGATAGGCATTCACATTAGGCAAACATTGCCAAATAAAATCACAGGCTTCAGAGATGCTATGTGAAATCAGGGATAGACATCTAAATCCTCTCCCATTTGGAAATACTGTAAGTTAAATTATTTTTTTTAAGTAGTCAAATACTTTAAAAAGAATCAAACTTACTTAGTTTTATTACTATATTGGTAACAGAATTCACCTTTTCCTGGCACAGAATTTGGAGAGTTAAATTGACCCTGCAATTTAAATTTCGCAATTGCCTAGCAACCTTACTGTATTTTTCTCCAATTAATATTGTGATATTGATCATAGCGCGGTTACGTGGTTCCCATGATGGACTCTTCACTGGACAGATTGATGCTGTTGACACTCTTAATGCTACTTACAGAGTAACCTTTGAGAGGACAGGACTTGGGACACATACAATCCCAGATTACGAAGTCCTTGTAAGTATTCTTGTTTTTTAAAGAGTTGGAATATGCAAAAGTGCAAGATAATTCAGGAATGAAATAAAAATACCATTACTGTCAACTTTATCAGTGTTTCTAAAATATGTTCAGTTCTCTCTTAGAACACTACTAAAACCTGATCATTCTATCAGCTACAGAGAATCATTTTTAATTATTTTTTCCTTTGTAACTTCAGAGTAATGAACCTCATGATACCATGCCAATTGCTGCCTTTGGACAAAAACAGAGACCTTCTAGATACATTATGACTCCTCCTCAATTACATTATACACCTTCCCTCCAATCACCAATTACAGTAAGTGATGTAGATTTAAATTTTGCTTCATTCACTAATTAGCTGAATTTTTAAAGACTTGACACAAAATTAGCAGTTCAGTACATTCTAAAATTTAATTAAGGTTAAAGCAATTTTAAAAAATAATTATTAAATGCAACTTTTTTCTTATATAGGACAGTGATCCTTTATTAGGACAGTCTTCTTGGAAAAACAAAATTTCAGGCTCAGATAGTGAGACATTAGGTGGTTTTCCTGTAGAATTCCTTATCCAAGTGGTGAGTCTCAATGTTTTTTTCACTTTTATCTGTATTGATGGATTGAAATATTTTGTTCAGAGATGTTAAAGGTCTAAACCTCTGCTTTTAAAAGTAATCAATTTTTCTTATGTATAATATTAATAGAACAATGTTTGTGATAAATCATTATTCTGTCCAAAATTATAAAACACGAAAATACAAATATTTGGTCTATATTGTAAAAAGTGAAAATAAATATTTGGAACATAAGTGTGTTTACCATTTAAATATATTTTCTCAAATCTTCAATATTGTGCTTGCAGGTATTTTTACTAATGAAAATGAAAATGTCCAAATCAAACATTGCATGGACTTTCAGAAGGGTTTTATTGTAGGCCAAAGGAACTGCTGACTCCTAATAGCTATTTCTCCTAAAAAGTTAGTTTACTATTCTGCAAAAAACTTTGAAAAATCTCTCTTAAAAAAACAGCTAGTCATAAGGCATGAGATGTGTCATTAAGAACTACTTTCACAGGCTTTGAATTGTGGCCATTATGCTAGAAAGTCTAGGGACTTTAGTTTCAGCGTAGACATCAGATCAAGTCATGATTAAGATGATGGTTAACAAACCATTAACTGTGGTTTGTTTTTGTATCTGAATTGATAACCCATAATTTGAAGTCACTTCTACAATCTGAAGCCACTAGACATAGTTTGAAGGGCATTGCAATATTGTTTAAGGTGTTATAGAACCAGGGAGACACAGGTTCAAAACCACTTTTAGCCATGGAAATTCAGTGGGTGACTTACTCTCTGCTCAAGTTATCTCACATCGCTCCTGTTGTAGGGGAAAACTGGAGATGGAAAGTTATGTATGCCAGAGGAAATATAGGATATTAATGTAACCCCAAAAAATACCCCACAATCTAAAGGGGAGATCATATGAAGCATGACATTTTTACTGACGTGAAATCTTCACATTTCATTTCTACCCATTTTGATAAATTACATGAAGGGGACTCAACCGTCAGTAGAGATACTCTACTTCATATGGATCTTCCTCTCATTTGGATAACATGAGAGACTTTTAAATGTCTTATTTATCCATTCTTTGTGTAATTGAGACAGACTGAAATCTCAGTGGAGAAAAATAATAGCACATTTCAAGTGTCTAGATGGCCATATTGTGGTAATGACAATTCTTCCAATGCCAACCTTCTAGATCAGATAGAATGGAAATATATCCTATTTTATTTTATAGCTCCCATTATGCAGCCTTAGTTATAAGTCAGGAACAAGGAAATACTGATCAAGTTTCTGTTTCTACTGGTCAAGCCTCAGCCCATCCTCTACCTTTACATCCTTATCAGTTCATTCTGGTGCTATCTAGATGTGTTGGACTATAAATCCTATAATCGAGAGTCAGCATGCAAGCTGCTCTGCTGGTTGAAGAAGAAAAATTATTCTTACACACTTGAAGAATACGAGTTTATGGAAGGTTACATTGGCTTGTAGCTTTAGTATGTAACTTGAAGGCTGGGTTCACAGAGCATGCCAGATTCTGCTAAAATGAAATTGGGTAGATTGCAGTTCAGCTTGTTGTAGGAACCCAGCCATTCTCTTAGCATGTTATGGGAACTAGGTGATCACATTAAGCTATATTATATGAACACAGCAATTAATTTTAAATTAACCCTATTGTAGAAATAGGCAGGTGAGAACTTTTGCTGGGATTTGTTAGAAACTAACTCCAGAATTTTAAGACCACAGTGAAAGATCTTTACTAAAGAGATGAAATAAGTAAAAGGAAAGCAGAAGCTATTTTGACAATACAGGTAGTCCTTGTTTAGCAATCACAATTGGGACTGGCAGCTCTGTCATTAAGCAAGGTAGTCACTAAGTGGGAAATCATGTGACAACAATTGTGCTTTCCTTTTTCTCCACTCCCCTGCCCTTTGGAATGCTCACTCCAGCACTGGGATAATTAGCAAGAAGGGAATTAATGTTTGTATTTACATTCATTGGAGAGGAAGGGATAAAAAGAGAGTAAGCGGGCGCACAATGGGGAATCCACATCGAAGGTAACACGCTGGCGCTTGCAGCCTCAAGCATGGGACTGGGAGCCATGGGTGCGCTCATCAAACAGCCAGTGTATTCTCCATTGTGTGCCTTGCTTATTCTCTTGTTATCCCTTCCTCTCCAATCTCTCCACTCTACAAAAACAGGGGAGAAAAAAATGGGTCAGGCACAGGACAACACATACTCAGTGTAATGGTGATCATGTGACTGAGGGACTCTGCAAAAGTCATAAATGTGGGCATTGGTCACAAAGTTATTTTTTTCAGCACCATCGTAAATTTGGTCGCTGAACAAGGCAGTCAGTAAGCAAGGTCTACATGTAAAACAAACTTAATGTGCTATAATTTTTAGAGAAAAATTCAAGCAAACGGTATTACCTGGGTAGACTCAACATATAGCATCCTTGGATGATCAAAAGAGATGTAAAAAAACAAAATGAAATTTTTATTACATTTAGTGTGGAGGTTAGACCTCCCAGGCAGAGAGATTCAACCAATCAGGTAATTTGCACTTATCTAGAAATGTATTAATCAAGTTGGCTGCAGCAGACTTAATGCATTGAGCCTGAAATGCTGGGCCTATGACATGAACTTTAAATAGTGAATAAATAAATTTATTCAGACTGGGTAGGAAATAATACCTACCTTGCTCTTATTTCAACACCATAGCAAGCTCTTTGGGAAGTGTTTCCAGATCTTTGTATGTTATGTGATACTGATTTTTAATTTAAACCTCAAGCACAATAATATTAGATTACTAACTTCCAATTTCTGTAATATATGCAAAATATATTATACTCTTTTCTCTGCTTTCCTCAGACCAGATTATCAAAAATACTTATGATCAAGAAGGAACATATCAAGCAGTTAAGGGAGATGAATACAGAAGCTGAAAAACTGGTAAATATATAGCCTTGTTTCAGTGGTCATTATTATATCAGTTTGTGATCACACAACATGCTAGACCGGGGGGGGGGGCTTAGTATGTTGTGTTAATGTAACATGTTGTTTATTCTGTAAACCATGGATTAGTCCAAAATTGAGCTTTCTCAGTGATGGCCTCATTCCATCAAACAGTTTGCCCCTGATAACCAGACCATCCCCTCCTTCTTGGCAATGATTAACCTATCCCTATTAGGGGATATTGTTTTGATTATTGTGATTATTATGTTGCTTGATTTAAGCTGTTCAGAGCTGTTTGGAACTGAGTGGTATACAAGCCACAGTAAGTAAATAAATAAGTAAATAAACAGATGAATAGATTTCCACTTATATAGTGGGACATGCGTCTCCTGTCTTCGTCACTCAGTCCTTTCCTCACCTGTTGCAGACATTTTCTATAGGCTGCAGGGGCAGTAAAAATCTGTTCCACTAGTGCCGTGTTTCTTAAAGTGTGGTTCTAGAACTCTTGGGATCCCCCAAGACCCTCTCAGAAGTCCATGAAATCAAAATTATTTACCAGTCTGTATTGAAAAATAATACAATATTGGAATTTTCGGGGAAGAAATGGTGAACTGAAGCGGAGCCAGCAACTGCAGCGGAATGAAGAACCAGTGAGTAGACTGGCCATTCATAATTCCTCTCCAGACAAGGAGAGACTTGAGATTGCCCACAAGTGCTCTATACAGTTGCTCCTCATGAGGAGACCATAAGACAGAGTTCCCCAGTGGGTTTAGAACTCTGGGAGATGAGGAAATAGCCATCTTGCTCAAACCAAAGTCGGCACCTTCAAAAGCACACTGGGTTCGCATACCATTTGCATTTTCTAATCACTTTCAGAAATTGCTTGTTAACTGCTTTTCAGCTATTAAGAACCTTTGGATCAACACATTTTACAGCACCAGGTGAGTTTCCTTCAATCCTTAGCAAAAGAAGTTTTAAATACAAGTTTAAGGACTTTAAACATATCTTTTGGAATAAACAGCAAAAGGATGATTAGAACTTTGATTTTGGAAAGTTACAAATGGACTAAGGGTCCAGATGAATTAATTCCAATTTTGGAATTAATTATAAAAATCCTTCCTGTGGGAAAATGCTTTTGTTTTGAATTCTCTTTAAAAAAAATGATAGGATGAGACTTTGAAGGTTGGACACTAGAGGGAACCTGATGGAACTAAAGATTACAATTAAAGAAGAACACTTCAGTTTGACTTACTAGTACAGAATGAAGCAGAATATTTTAACATTGGATATACTGATGGATATTATTGAACAATGGACCCAGAAGTTAATTTTAAGAGTGTCTACCTCTATAGATAGACTGTGTTTCAAGGATATTATGAAAGAGGAACAGGTTTTACCTGACAAGATTGAGGCTGATCTGAAAGTGGATTTAAAAATGACAGAATACAAGAATGATATGGAAAAAGATGCTACACTAGACATACAAAAGAAACTGGCTGATGTCTTAATAATTAAAAGGGATATACAAATA